CTGCGACTGTACAAAGCCCTAGCTCAACAGCTGCAAACTTGATTGGAGTACCTCCTGCACTAGGACACAAAACCCATGCCCGTACAAAAGCGTACAAAACCGTACATCCTGCACTAAGACACAAAAACCGTACCCGTACACAAGCGTACAAAACCGTACATCCGCCACTAGGATCCAAAAACCCAAACCATACAAAGCTTTAACGTGTTAAGCAATACATCCCCCTAGGACACAACACCGTATCCGTACAAAAGCTTATTACAAGCTCGTCGTACATCCCGCAGTAGCCCTAGGATACATCGTGCGAAAGCATACATCGTGCATTCTGTACTATATGACTATATGCTATAGGACAGAAATCGGCTTCCGTCTAAGCGGGGGGCGAATTGTTCATCTTCCACTAGCTAGGACACAAGAATCCGTTCCAATACAAACTAATGGCATGCACTGCCTGTAGAAGAAGAAGAAGGAGACCCGAACCGAAGCCAGGAAGCCTTTGTCGATGATCATCATCAGTTCGAAGCCAGAGCTATTGCAGGGCACCTTGGTTTAGGGTTTGGGGCTTAGGGTTTTGGGTCAACTGGGGCTGGGATCGGCTGGTGTATGTCAGACAGGGCACAGCGTACGAAGTGAGTCGCCATATTGTACGGAGGCATGCAGCAGTGCACTCGAAGCGGAGTCTTGGATCTAGTTTTTGATATCGCTGCATGGTCAACCTAAGGCCAAACCTTCAGCTCCTATGCCTATCTCGGCTTGAAGGCCTGCGAAAGACACGGGTTTGCAAGGCTTCCATGGACTGCACATGAGCATCTGAATCAGCTCTAGCAGAGTCAGCAGCGGTGCAGTGGCATGCGGGGGCACACCACCTTCATCAATGCCCTCGCAGGATCGCTTGCGAGATGAGGATGCTGATGCTGTACCTGCCACCGGCTATACACAGCAGCTGTTACATTAAGCTTCCGCACACAGCCAATATCGCAAGATTGTAAGTGCAACTGCATGTGCGTGCAGCTGTTTGCTCGCTGTAGCACGTAGCTTTGTGTCACGGCTATAGCTCGATCAGAGGGCGACCCAGCTGAAGCGGAATTTGAACCATCTGAGCAGGTAGTGTAGCCTAAGCAACTCTAACTTACACTATGTATGGCTGGGAGCCAGCGGATCCTCTGTGTCGATCGTCTGCACCAGAAGGCACATATCAAAAAAGGCGAGCTCCGACTCACATCTCCGGGACCTGCAGGGAAGTGGGACTTAGAGCTAAGTTCAAGCGGACAAATGTTGATTATTTTTAGCTTCGGGCGGGGGTCGAAAAAAGCTGCTACCTACTGCGATTATTACCTAAGTAATTGGTTCGGTCTTAAAACCCTACCCTCAGTATATCAGACCACCCCAGACTCATACCTCAAACCAACCCTTTTAACATCACAGTTTCATATCCTCCGAGATGCCCTTAACCCTGAATCCGCCCCTAAATCCTGGCTCAACTGGTGCGGGTACGAACTCGGCCTGGCCTTGTGCAGCAGAAATGCCACTGCCATGTCGTGACAGAAGGTTTCAATTTCTGTCTGATCAGTCAAGCTTGTTAAGCCCTCGTCGGACAGATATGCCATAAACTTTCGCTCAGCTTTGTCTTTCGCGAGTGGAATCTTTCCAGACAAATGCCTTAGATGGTCAGGTCTACACCGAAGGTTTTCAGTAGCTCAAGAGGGCCATGCACTGAATATAATTGATTGAAATCAAGCAGGACACTCCTTGTAGGCTTCAGCAGCAAACTGAAATCTCCAGAGAAACGGCGTGGTCTGCGGAGGCGGGCGACCGGCGAAAGTCCTATTTGGCTCCTGGGGAGCCTCATTTTCTTTCTTCTTCCTCTTCTTCTTCTCGTCCTCGTTCTCCGGCACCTCATCCCCTGTGGCCCTTTTGGCCTTGCCCTTTGGCTCCTCCTTCTCCTAGGTTGGGACAAACACTAAAGAATGCAGACCCAGCAGATATGCAAATTATTTGCAGAGCGTCGGTAGCAACAGCATCTGGATGGACAAAGCTCCTCACGTCCACCAAAGCCTCCATCGTAGCCCGATCGGTTTCACTGGAAGAATCATCCAAGTCGATGGCATCCTTGACTTATGGAAACTGAAAAGTATGATGCGACTCGATGTGTCTGTGCATTTGCATGCTTAGCCCCAGACAGACCCAAAAATCTTCAAGTGAGCCTCTTCGTACTTTTTCTGAGCAACCTGACAAGGGTTGATACCCAAGCAGGAACATTGTTGCTGAGTCCAATTATCGCCAAGAACCTCCCGAGCTGTAGGACATGAAGACGAGCTCGGCATCGACTGCCTCAATTTCAGGAAAACTAGGGAAAAGATACATGGAATGTCCAGGCAGGCAAGACGACGAAATAATTGCAACCATTAGGCTCAACGGCCGGGCCCGTAGGCTGCTCGAGATCTCCAGGCTCGAACGACTTGGGCTCGAGATCTCCAGGCTCGAACGACTTGGGCTCGCGATCTCCGTGCTCGAACGACTTGGGCTCGCGATCTCCAGGCTCGAACGACTTGGGCTCGCGATCTTGAGGCTCGCTCGACTTGGGCTCGCGATCTTGAGGCTCGCTCGACTCCCGATCTCCAGGCTCGCTTGGCGGGCATCCCATGAGGAGCTCTTCAACCTCCGAAGGCGTAAAGCGGCCCAAGTCACCCCACTCCTCCTCCAGCCGCCTCAGCCTCGAATAGTGCAAAATCGGCTTCGTGTGCGTGCTGCGGGTTTTCAGCTCAAGAGCATATTAGAATCATTTTTGTCGAATCCAAGCGACTGGTCTCCACGGTCTGAAGAGCTCCTGAGATGCAGAGACTCGCGACACGTCATTATTACTCCAATGCTAGTGTGCCGGCACAAACAAAACACCTTAATTTATCCGAAGCACGGTCGCTCAGCTGGCCCTGGAGACTCAAGGAGCCTTTCAATATCATCATCATCATCA